TATAGTGAAATCATGTCTCAAAAAAAAAAAAGGAAATCTAAGCTACCGTGTTTATAAAAATAGCTCAGTAGCTCCTTATGAGAAAGTGGTAGGAGCGAACGGAAGGAGGAACACAGGAGTTACACTGCTTTGAATATGCCCTGTCTTATGGATTTGACGTGGGACCCACATAAGCATTTTAAATAATTATGAAGCAAATTTAAGTGTTAATAAAACAATTCTCTAAGGATTAAAGTGAATTCAAAAAGGACCTAATTGAGGGAATACTGTGCAAAACGGCATTATACCTTGTAGCTTTAAAATAAAATATTTTGGCCATAAATCTCTAAAAGGAATTTGCTACAAAGGGAAAGAACTGCCACAACTCTTCCCTGCGCCACTGTTTCATGACATACTCTTATTAGTGTCACATCACCGAGGACGGTTGTACAGTGCACCGTGCTGGTGGTGGTGTGGCAATCACCAAGCTGCAGTGGCACTGGCAGTAGCGACAGGACTGGTGGGGTCTTGCTTCTGTTACCCAGCATGTATTGGGATTCAAAATTCATACGTGTAACAAGTTGGAGCAAGAAAAATGATTATGTTACATTCTCGGGAACCAAAGTTTCTATCAAAGAAAAGGGAAATACAGATAAAAGGTAGAGATTTAATACAAACCCACAGGCCTGAATCCTAGTTGGAAACTTCAGGATGAACTCAGGATGTGTTCTGTATTTAAATATATATGCTTTTCTAAGCCTTGTTGGCCAAAAACGCTTAAAAATTATCAGAAGAACCCAGTAGCAATGAGATCTGCTGACATCCCAATTCAGATTTTTCAGTACTATTTCCCATTGAAAGTACAACTAAGGGAAGCTCCTTGAAAGGAAGTGCATCCTGACCAAATTCAGAAAATGCACAAGGCAAGTCTAAGCACTCTGTCGTAACAGGCAGTGAAGACCCTCCCAGGGACCGCGGGGTCAGGTCAGAAGGACCCGCAGGCCAAATGGAGCAGGGTCCCATGGGTCCAACCTGAAATAATTGGAACATCAGTAAGATAATAACTGCAATGCATTGAAACACACCAATATGTGTGAACTTATCAGTCTGTAATGATATGTGTGATTTTAAAATCTCATCTGTCACCCTGGAAGAATGCTAGAGAAGCAACTCATTTTTTTGAAAACTAATAAAGGCAGAGAAACAGGCATTTACTTAGTGATTTCCACATGAGCCTCAAGGTAACAAGTAGCTGATGAGAAATTTATCTGCACATAAGTAACCCACAGTAAAAATGAAAGAGGAAAGATAGGATCCAAACAACATCATTCTGTGACCCTTAAGGCACTGGTAGAGGTAGCCCCTGCTCATTAACAGCATTGAACACCACACACACACACACACACACACACTAGCTGTCCTGTGTTTCCTAGTGGGGGATCACACTACCGTGGAGGAAAGAATCTTCTCACAAAAACTGAACTTGACTCTTACCAAGCTTTGGGTTCTACCAACACAGAGACAGTGGAGACAGCAGGGAGCATGTTACAGGGAATCACTGAGCTGCAAGGAGTGAAACCCAGATCCCAGCAAATCCCACAGGGCAAAGGCTTCTTCTTCAAAGATAGAAGAAAAACAAAAGGAGGGATTAACACACTTAAAAATTCAATACCCAGTCATAGTGCAAGGACTTCAATTAAATCTTGACCTAAACAAACCCTAAACAACATAAAACATCTATAAGACCAAAGCACATGGACAACGAGGGCCGGGAATTTAGCTCAGTGGCATAAGCGCCTGCGTGGCAAATGCAAGGTCATGAGTTTGATCCCTGGTACCAAAAAAAAAAAAAAAAAAAAAAAAAACCACAAAACAATGCCTGGACACTTGATATTAAAAATCTACTGCTCATTGTATATAGATATGATAATGGTATTATCTATGTTTTTAAGATAACCCCTACCTTTTAGGGATATACACAAAGGTTTATAGATGACTGAGGAATTTTAGGTTTTGATTTAAAATAATGCAGGGGAGAGGAGTAGGTGGGAAAACAGATTAACTGAGTGGCTATTAAACTTAAAGGACGTAGGGCTGGGGGTTTAGCTCAGTGGCATAAGCACCTGCGTTGCAAGCAGGCGGTCGTGAGTTCGATCCCTGGTACTGATAAAAATGAGAAAGACAAAAAACAAAACAAAAACAAAAACAAAACTTAAAGGATGTTCCACTAGCCAAATATAGAACAATTTGAGCAATAAAATAATGATAAAAATTGGGGCTGGGGATTTAGCTCAGTGGCATAAGCACCAGCCTTGCAAGCAGGCAGTCGTGAGTTCAATCCCCAGTACAGATAGAAAGGAAAAAGACAAAAAAAAAAAGATAAAAATTGTAAAATACAATATAATAAACACCCTCGATTGATGCTGATATAAGCAAGAACACAAATGAAAGAAAAGGGAAAGAATGATGGAAAAAACAAAATGTCGTTTGGGAAACACCATGGTAGTCACTGGTTCAGGTAAGAATTTACTGAAGGATACTTGAATTAGGAGGAGAAAAATGATAAGAGGATATTCACATAGCATCAAAGTATCTTCCTCTAGGATATTTATTAAAAGAGACAAATAGTAACTTCACAGGAAGAGTCCTAGAAGATGGCTCTGTCATTACTGTTGCTAATGACGGAATAAAATGGTATAAGGAGGGGCGTGGTACCATTCCCATGTGATACCTGTCAGAACTGCATAATCTACATTAAAGCTTAGAGAAGTATCAGGGAAACCAAATAGAGGGATAGCCTGTAGAATGTTTTGATGCCATCATGCATCAAAAATGTCACAGCCAGCAAAGACCAAGAGAGATTCAATGTCTCAGAGTAAAGGTCATCAGGGGACATAAATGCTAAGGGCAACATGCCCCCCTTCCCCCAAGCAATCAGTGTACAGCTGATGCGATCTGAATAAGGTTTCTGAACCAGTTGTCCAGTATCAAAATATCTATTATCTTGGATTGATCATTCTATAATATGGCATAAGCATCAAAATTTGAGTAAGAAGGGTGAAGGTCACATGGGAATTCATTCTACCAAGTTTGCAACTTTTTTGTAAGTATAAAATTACTTCAGAATGAGAAGTTAAAGCTGGACATAGCACAGCTGTAATTCCAGCACTTGAGAGGCTGAGGCAGGAGTACTGTCGTGAGCTCAAGGTCAGCCTGGGCTACACAGTGAGTTCAAGGCCATCCTGAACTACATAGCAAGACTCTGTCTCAAGGGGGCTGGGGATTTAGCTCAGCGGCATAAGCGCCTGCCTTGCAAGCAGGCAGTCATGAGTTCAATCCCTGGTACCAATAAAAAAAGAAAAAAACAAAAAACAAAAAACACAACAACAATAACAAAAAGACTATCTCAAAAAACAAAAAGAAGGAAAGTTTAAAACTTTTTTCCTTTCCTTTCTCGTTTTTTTTTTTTTTTTTTTGAGGTGCCTTGTATATGCTAGGCAAGCTCTTTACCACTGAGTTATATTACCAACCCAAAAACACTTTTAAGGTGGATACTGATTTTTAATCACTGAAGCTCAGTGATGTATACCCTCTGTGCAGATATTTCAAATGTCCCACAATGAGTGTTACAAAAGACGTCTTGGAAATGTAACAACCACATGCAAGGTATGGACCTTGTTTGGACTGGATCCCAACAAGTCAACTGTGAAAGAACACTTCTGGATTAAGGGTGTGGTTCAGTGGTACAGTGCTGGCCTAGCATGTGTGACCTCCATCCCCAGCAACGCAAAAAAGGAAAACACACACACAAAACCACTTCTCAGGCAAACAGGAAGATTTAAATACAGATTGGCATTAGATAACAAGGAATTACTTTGATCTTTAAAGACAGTTTTTAAAGAAGTAAAAATACATATTACATAAAATTCATCACTGTGACAGTTTTAAGTGTTTGATCTGCAGACAGTAAGTCTGTTCATAATGTTGCACTACTATCTAGTTCCAGAATATTTTTATCTCCCCAGAAAGTGGTCCCCGCACCCATGAAGCACTTTCCAGTTTCCCCACACCTTGAGGCTCCTAATCTGCCTTCTTTTGCTACAGACTTACCCATTGTGACATTTGATACAAATGAAATTGCATACTATGTGCCCTTCGGTGACCAGCTTTCTTGCTTGATTTAGTACAATGTTTCCAAGCTTCATCCACATTATAATATGTGTCAGTGCTTTGTTCCTTTTTATAGATGAATCAGACCACATTTGGTTTAACCATTCATCAGGTAATGGCAAGGCATTTGAATTATTTCTACCTTTTACTTATTATAAACACAGGTACCATAAACACTCATGTACAAGTTTTTGTTTGAACATGTTTCAGTTCTCCTGGATATATACCTAGAGGTGCATCATGCAGCTGCATCATGTGCTAAATTCCATGTTTAATGCTAAGGAATTACTACCAAATACTCTTTTTAGGCCAGTGGTATTCTGACACTTCTACCACCAACACATGAGAGTTTCAGTTTTCTCAGTATTATTACCAATATCTGTTATTTTCCGTTTCTTTTTTTAACAGCCATCTTACAGGATGGCTTGGGTTTGGATTTGCATTTCACTACTGAGCGATGACACCAGGTTTCTTCACATGTGTTTCTTGACCACTGCTAGGGGTTCTAATGCTTTGTAGTTAAATGCAAAATGCCACTGGCTTTAAAAGGCATGCAACAATAAGAAAGGATGTACTAACTGAGATTTGCTTTAAAATATGATAGCAAAAAGGTACATTCTTTAAGAGAAAGAAAAGGGTGACAAGAAGAGAATGTGTGTAAACCAGGCCAAAAATGAATCTGGGGCTGGGCTTAGCAGTGTGAGCACCTGCCTGGCAAGCACAAGGTTGTGAGTTTGATCCCTGGTACCAAAAAAAAAAAAAGAATCTAGTTGACAAACACACAGTGTTTTCTCTGCTTCTAAAATTCTGAAATTTCTTACAATAAAATAGGAAGTTCTGCCCATTCGTACCTGGTGGGCCTCCACACCCATCACTTGCAGGGCGTTCTGGAAGAACTCTGGGGAAGGTTTCCCCACCACCTCGGCTTCAACACCACAGGCATACTGAGAGAGACAGAAGGAAACAGCATGGGTTTAGGATCATGACCAGATAGGTGTCCAAACACAGAAAGACTGCCTCAATGTGTCCCCAAAGGTCAGGCCTGGAAGACATCGGATGCTGCGTGAACATCTTGAGTCCACAATGGGCTGCCTGGGATGCTTGCAGCATCCACCACCAGCACTGGCACCCACTCAAAGGCCCACTCACCGTGGGAAGTGTCCCACGGGTAACACAGCCACAAGACCAGGGTTCTTATCTGCTCACTCAGCTGCAAGTTCACTGGCTCACCCCAAACCCCACTTCCAGCTCCATCACAGACCCACCTAGGAGAGGTCCAGAGCCCTGTCCAACCACCTATCTGCCCATCTGGCCCCACTGAGTGCAGGCAGGCAGGAGCTGCTGCAGTGAGAGGGCGAGCTGTGTCCTGAGCTGACCAGGGCAAGAGTCTCAGGAGGGAACAGCTGAGGAGGTAGGGGTCAGCGTGAGGTAGAGGCTTGATCAGAGATGGCCTTGTGCCTGGCAGGGAGGAGTGAGAAAGCGGTCAATAAGGACACATCAAGCATGAGGTACTGCAGATGACCAGGGTCAGAACGGAGGCTGCGGTGGTCAGCCCATGGAAGCTACTGGGCAAAGAGGAGTGGCAGAGTGTGCTGGCAGGGTGCACTGGCAGAGCAGAGGGGAAGGGGACAGATGAGGGACAGAGGACTTAGCATAAGGAGGCAACTAAGAGGCCAGATCTCAGAAGAGAATGAGTGCTAGAAGCCCAAACAGGGAGGCCTGCTTTGAAGCCAGCAGGGACCCTTGAACATTAGATACACTCTCTTTTCCAGAAAGATCTAAAATATCATCATTATCTAGCCCTGAGAGAAGGGCCAGTACCTCAAGTGCTTTCACATAGGCTCCAACGTCCAGCATTAAACCCGAAGTCGCCTTGTAGTAGCGCCTAGAAAAGAACAGAAGCGACAATGTGAGTTGCAGGTGATAGCATGCTAAGAGTGACCAATGGACGTCAGCAAGGCGGAGAGTGGGGCCAGAAGCTCTAGGGATCCACAGGTCATCCTGCTGCCAGCCTTGAAGGGACCCCACACAATGATTAACTAGGAACCCTTGGAGAGAGATGGATCCAGCTGTTAACACAGAGAAAGATAAGTGACATGTATTCTGGGAAGGGACAGGAGGCCCAGGGATCATGGTAAACCCCTAGTTGCTAATAATTAACCCCTAATTGCTGCCCAAAGAAGAAAACTCCATTAGTTCCACAGCACCCTGCCGCCCTGCCTATTAGCGAGGTGCCAGGTTTCGTGGGCGCCAGCTGCTTTCGTGAGAAGACAAGCATGTGTTACCCTGCGTGTGGAGCCTGAGGTGGCTCAACTCCCAGGGACATCTTTTCAGATGGTTGCATCGCTCCTGTGAGCACCATGGTGCTTCCCAGCAGCTGGCCGTAGCCTCGGGGCAGATGTGGTCCTGGTTACATGGGAAACCAATCCCGGGCTCTCTGGGCAACACCGCCAGACTGTAAGAAGGGGAGAGGACGGCATGACCTGTGCTGCTCTATACATGGGACTCAAAGAAACTCAAGAAGGATGAGAAGGGTCTGATTTTAGAATTATTAGTGTTCTGTCACCCACAATGTCAGTTTCTCTTCTCCTATCCCTTGCCCTTCATATTTAGGGACATTAAAGATGAGTCTGGTGAGAGAGACACACGAAGCAGGCTGACTTCAGCACCCAAGTTCTCTCTTTGCTTTCCATAGTGATTTCAGGCTGCTTAAGCCTCGGGGCCTCACTTTCCTAAGGTGTAAAACAGATGAAACTAACAACTTGCCTCATGTATTACTGTGAACTTTGGACAAAATAACAAAGTAAACTACTTTATTATGAGAATTTCCCTAGCTAGGGAGAGCATTTTGGGGAAAATAATTTTTTTCTTTTCAATTTTGTTTTTCTTTTTTTTTTTAAGACAGGGTCTCACTATGTAATTCAGGCTGGGCTTGAATCACGGTGGTCTTTCTGCATCAGTCTCCTGAATGCTGGGACTACAGGTGTGTACCACTGCACCTGGCTAATTTTTATTTTTTATTAGTACAGGTTTGCAGTGTATAATGATTACATTCCTCGTGAGGAATGTGTACAGATATGTAACACATCTCAATTCTTTTTTCATCTCCTTCCTTTCCCCTTTCTTCTCTTCCCCTTCCCTCCATCTTTTGGTCTCCTTTCCATTTGCAAAAGATCTAGCTCCTTATTTATATGTAGATTTTATTTTGCTCTGTATTTATAGTTTGTGTTTCTTATATAACAGTTTTAAAGAATCAGTGAATGAGACATCCGGGAGAACATGGTGGACAGATAACAGCAGCCACGGAGGCTCTCTGAGAATGCCAGCTTAGAATCCAGGAATGGTGCGGTGTGAGGAGTCCTAAGCAAGGGGATATATACCCTGCTGACCCAGGAACGAACTAAGCTGAGAGAAACCAACTGGAAATGCAGTCCTGATGCTATAACAGGAACAGATAAAAATCTCAGCACAGAAGCTGGAACCCACGCCTCTGGAAGCTGTGATTTGAATTTCCTGCTGCCGCTGCTGCGTCCCAGTCGTCACAGCAGGGGGAGAGACACGCGAAAGCTCTGATAGCAGGAATCTGATAATCCGATAATCTCTGATAGCAGGAACCAAATGAAGTTGAAAGCGGGACTGCAGGGAGCCCTGCATCAACCTGCAGTAAGTGATAGGAACGGGGACCGTTTCATAGACTAGGAGGCTCCAACAGAGGACATACTGGGAACGAGCAGACTAGCCAGAACAGGATGCTGCAGTGACTTTAGTCGCATATTCCCCTCTCAAGCAGGATTGGTGGGGAGTGCTTGGCCTGGTGACACCTCAGACTAAGATCCAGTAGGCTAGCCCAAACCAGGTCCCAGTGCCTTGAGGTGTACCAAAGCAGTGAAGCCTTCTGTAGGTTGACCTGGACGGGTGGGCCCAGCAGAGGCTGCCCAGGTATGTGTCTCCCTAGTACACTGCAGTGGGTGGGAACACCTAGACGGCGGATTCAAACAAACTGTAACACACAAAGAGAAAAAAAAAAAAACTGGCCCTCCTATATATGCTTGTATGGAAGGAACAAAAAGTATGGGAAGAGGTAGCAATAAGAAAAGGTCCTCAGTCCCCAATCCTGAGAACACTGATCTAGGAAAGGTAAATGCAAAAGAGAATGAAGACAGAAAACATGCAATATCAGACACGGCACCAACAGACATAAAGCATTATCTCCGGAGCCTCATAGATGAGTTCAAGAGTGAAATATTTAATGAAATAAAGCAAGAATAAATAGAATAGTTAGAGAAATGCTAAGCACCCCCCCCCCAAGAAAAAACAGATGGTGGAATGGAAGAACTGAAAAAAAGGGGAGAATTGTTTAATGGAGAAAATAGAGAAAACTTAGAATACATGAAGCAGGTTCAAAGAGATTACCAGGAAACTAAAAACTCTATTGAAAGCTGGCATAACAGCTTGAAAGAAACTAAGGATAGATTATCTGAACTGGAGTACAGATTTGTAAGGTGGGAGCATGAAATGAAAAACTTCTTAAAAATAACAAGAAAACAAACAGCAATAATACAAAGGCTAGAAGATAGGATCTATAACCTAAGAATTAAGAACATAAAAGAAGTAGGGACACAAACAAATGAACTACAAAAGCTATTCAGAGAAATAATCCAGGAGAATTTCCCTAATTTAGCAAAAGGTAAAGATACTCAGATCTATGAGGCATACAGGACCCCAGCCACCTACAACCCAAACAGAGCTACACCCACAACCCAAACAGAGCTACACCCAGGCATATAATAATCAAAATTCCAGAAATCCAATATAAGAACAGAATATTAAAAGCCATCGGAGACAAGAAACAGATCACTTACAAGGGAACACCCATCAGAATTGTAGCAGACTTCTCGGCACAAACCATCAAATCACGAAGAGCGTGGGAGGAAATAATTCAAGCTTTGAAAGATAATAACCTCCAGCCAAGATTGATATATCCTGCACAACTGTCCCTAGGAATTGATGGAAAAACAAGGTGCTTCCAGGATAAAGAGGAACTAGGGGAATTTGCAACCACCAGTTCAACTCTACAGAGAATACTGCAGGATATTCTAAAAAAGAAAAATACCAAAATTCCAGAAATAGTGGCAGAGAGGCCACAATGAATGGAGCAGAAAACAAAACGAAGAAGACAAACTGACAACTAATGACAGAAAAAAGAGCTCAACAGAAATGGGGCAGAAAAGGTTAGATGGTAGGAATAGCCATTTTGGAGAAAACAAGACATCATAATAGCTAGTGCTGATTTAATATCATCTTGTTTTGAAGTTCCATCAAGCTTTTGTTCTTCTGTTTCCATCAGCCTTAACATGTTGTATCTTATTGGATTTTATTATATGTGATAATATAAACAAAAACTTTTATAGACAAGGAGATTATACAGAAACCATTGTTCATTTTCTGTTAGTTGATTCTAAATACCCTGTAATACTGTCATTCTTTTGAACGGTTTTACATTGTCTTGATATGTTTGATGCTACAGTATGCAAAGTTATACTCAAAGATTTAAAGGAAAGAGGCACTATGGTAACTACTTTTATGTCGGGATTATCTTGTGGTGAAACACTATTTTGCTTAAATGGCTATGTTTTGATCTGTGCTGTTTTGTTGTTATGCTCTCTTTTATCTCAATCTCCTTTTTTATTATTTACTTTTTCATTTTTATCCTTTAAGGGAAAAATAAATAAAAATAGCAGGATATATTATAGTAACCCACTTTGATTTCCTATTAACTTGATTTGAAATCCTGTATTGCTCTCACCATCTTGTTTTGACTGATTTTCCTCTATTCTGTTTTGCTTGATAGTACCAAGTTCGAAAGTATAGGCAACAACTGTGAAGACAATAAGATTCATTATGATGCCCATTCTGGTTGACTATTATTTTCTCTTGAAGTCCTCTAATGTCTCCAATGTTTTCGTTTTATTGGTTTTGTTCTTTACTGTTTTGTTCAATTTTATTATAACTGATGATATAGGCAATTCTTTTTAAGATAGCAAGAGGCAGTATGGTAACCATTGTTGATCACCTTGTATTTTGTTTTTACATTATGTATTATATGTCCATCGTTTTGATTTGACTGACTCTGTCCTGGTATGTCACATTTTGTTTTACTCTCTTCAAAAAAAAAGTAATAAGAACAGTGGGAGTAATAAAACCCAAAATGTGTAACTGTCATCGTACAAAAGAGAGGAAAAGAAAGTGCTCTAAAGGACATAACTGCATGTATATTTAAGTGTATAAGATAGATAACCATGTTACTGAGTTTTGTTGGATCATTGAACAGAACTGTTTCCAGTCTCACTGTTTGAATGTCCACTCTATATGCTTTAATTTTGTAAGTTGAACAACTATTTCTAAGATGACAATATGTAATCTATTAACTAGTGATTTCCTACTGTTTATTTTTTCTGAAATTCTGTATAACTTGTACCCTTTTTTTTTCTTTTTTATCCTTAAATAAAATTAAAAAAAAAAAAAAAAGAATCAGTGAATGATGAAATAGAGTTGGCAGGGAACAAGGTTGGCCAGGCCAGAGCTGGTCTATCCTACTCAGTCCCCCTTAGCTAGGTCTTTCGTGGATCTCAGAAATACTTCTAGTCCTGAGCAGCTCTTCCACCCGAAGAATTCCCACTGAAGTGGGGATATGGACAGGTCTGCAGCAAATCAAATGGGCAATAATAAAGGACTCATGCCCCGTGATACCTTGCTTGAACCAGTAGCAGACAGCCAAGAAGAGGGAGACAGAGAGATGACTCACAGAAGCAATGTTGAAGTGAGCCCCGAAGTGGCAGGAGGTTACCTTGCTAAGGAGAGGCACATCTAGGCCCCGAGTGCATT